CCCAGGTAGTGCCAATGATGCCAATGGAAGAGCACCACTTTGAGGAAGAGACTATATTCTGATGTGCTGCCACTTATTGTAAATCTAATCTGCTGACGTGAAGGACCATGACTTAGGCAGCTTCATATGCCCTTCCATATCCAGCACTGTCCCTGGGACATGATAGATATTCCAATGTTGCTTGGATTTTTACTGCACTGACTACATCTGAAATACAGAATTTTCTGTGCCTACTTTTTCTTTAAGTAAGTGGTTTTCAAACACTGCTAAAAATCAGTTGAATCAATAGTAGTACGCATTTCTTGAGGGTCTTATTATGCAAAGCACTAGGAGAAAAATAAACAAAAACAAATTAGCGTCCCTGTCCTCAAGGAGAACACTGGCATGTTTACCACTAACTCTAATATGTCTTTACTAGAATTGTGGAAATGATTTTAGAATTGTAGAGGTAGCAGTGAAGGCAAATGAGCCTGTTTATGCTACTAGCAACTTGACCTTAAGTAATTTAGGTGTCATTTTCCCATGTGTACATTGAGGCTAATGGGACTGTTGTGATGTTTATGCATAATAATGCATGTGAGGATCGAGTTTCATGCCTGGCACATAGTAAATGATCCCCACTAGTGTTATTTGTAGTGGTGTTGGTAGTAAGTATAGTAGTAGTAATAATTACAATAGTCTACATTATCCACCTAATTCAGTTTAGGAAAATACCTCGTTCCTTTCCTTCCTCTCTAAGTCCATCTATTATCCTAATGTTCAGTTTCACTTTGTAGGGCTTATCTGCAATTTAATTTTAACTTTGTTTCTGTTTAAAATTTAAGCTTAAAAGAAAATACATTTTAGAAATCAGTCTATTTCCTTGGTATGAAAACTGCTATATGCACTACAACAGAAGGACAGAAATAATCTATTTTCCTACCTTGAAGCTGCTTAAACCAACACTGTAATTTTCTCGTCTACTCATGTCTCCATAAATTTATTTATTTTCCATGTGGAGAAGACAAAGTTGGTTGAGGCAACAAATGTAGCTTTTGATGTAGAGGCCGTCATTAACAAAGTCTTAAGGAGACCTACCTGGGGGAGGTTGGCACATGAGCCTGTGAATCACAACTATTGTCATTATCTAATGGAGGAGAAGTACTTAGTAATAAAGAAGAGCTTGGGAACAGACCTTTATTATTCTCCCATTACCTACGTCCTTTTTCATGTCTATGTAATCCAGATGTAACTCAGATGTCAGCTGCCTGGATTACTTTAAGTCCTGCCGAGTGCCAGGGGCAGCCTGTTCTTTAAAATGGAATTTAAATGGACTCCAATCACCGTCACTCGTACAGGGGGTTCTCAGTGTTCCTCCCAATGTTGTCAGCAGTTATGAGTGGAGTTTATCTCTCTCCTGGACTCCTTTGCTTCTGAGCTTCTCCTTATGCTTATTCTAGTCAGGAACAAAGAACCTGAAATACCCCAGGCCACCGACATAATTTTTTTTTTTTTTTACTCAAGTTAGATAATGCAAGTGAAAACAATTCAATAAGGATAAAGTGCTACCTCAGGGAAGTAATAACCTTACCAAACTAGAAAGTGACATCAGGCATTGTAAATGCTCCAAGCTACCCCGGGAGGAGGAAAAACCGAAGGTAATGAAACAGTATCTGCTTGTTTCATCTGGCTAAAAATAGAGAAAAGGTTGAAGTCCCGACAGGATTTTGAAATAAATTAGGACTGTCTGTGGGTTATAATAAGAAAGAAAATTTACCCGTGAAAGTTTAAAAGGGAACAGCAAAAGCTAGTCGTGTGACTTACAGGAACCCCAAAGAACATTCAGCACCAAAAGAGGGAAGAAGGGCCCCCAAAGAGCTTTGAAGCTGGATGAGCTGGGAACTACGAGGAGCACGCTTTCCTCACCCTTTTTAAGAAGGTACATCCACACGGCCTTGGTCTCATTTTCTGGTAACTGCCAGATCTGTCCTGGCAGCAGTGGCTGCCAGCACCATAATCAACTGCCTCCACAGCCCTCCAGTGTGCATAGCATTTGGCCTGTTCGTTTCTTACATTACATTCAGTTTTTCCAAGAATTTGTTCCTAGCCTGAGTTCAGAAACTGTTCCTAACATGATATTCATAGTTTCCTAACCCCCGCGTCGCTTTCCTATGATCTAATCCCCAAACTACCTAGATGCACTGCACATCTTACACGGTTGGACTGAAGGAAATTCTGATTGATGAGCCTTTTTTTTTTTTCCCTTTTAAGGGTAGTTGTCGGACACCCCAACCCCCAGGAGAGGTAGTACACAAGGCAGGTAGTTTTGGTTGCAGGGACACTGGGATGAGTCACAGCTGGACAGGAGTAGGCGAGAGGAGAAGCCAGCTGTACTGCAGGGCCCAGGTAGGCAGGAACGCTAGGAGGGCTGCCAACAGGAACAGGCGTGCTGGAGCCCAAAGCCCTCCTCCTTAATCACCCGCCCGTGTTGACCACGCAGAGGACAAACTGGGCACTCTCAGCAGCCTGGTACTAATGACAGGGCACGACTGGGGGGCTCTGAAGAAACTGGGGGAAAGGGGCCGCTTCAGGATTGGATCGTTCCCCCCTTTCTCTGAAGGAATGGGCCAGGTGGCCAAGTCATCGTACAAGCAGGGAGAACTGCAAAGGAGAGTTTTAAGAGCGATGACACTTGGGGAGTTTCCTTCTCTTCCCGAGAGCCCCGCAGACACGCCTGGTTAGTGCTAACATCCTGGAGGTCCACTTTGCCCGTTTTATTTTTTAACTAGGCTGGTGCGCCGTTAGTTGAGGTTCTGCTTTCAAAGGTTACCCTCTGAATCTAAAACTAAGTTTTCAGGAAGGCACTTCAAGCAGAGAAGTGGGAACCAAACATGAGACGTTGTATGTGTTGGAGTCAAATTTAAACACTGGCGCTGTGTATCAAATGTTGATTAATCCTAGAGCACCTCACAGTAGAGTCAGTAACCATCCTCATTTTACATCCTGAAACTGAATTGTGATGACGTTGTTCAAGATAAAAATAGAGCAGTGGAGTCTGTGTGAGTTTCTTCGTCTGTGTCTGCTTTTGTCTAAGCACCGTTAGGCAGTGTATGGCTGTGGTTCCATAATTCTGAGGAAAACAGGAGACAAATCATTCAAAGCCAATATTCGTAGAAATGACTAGCCATCATGATCACTATTTTTAGTACAGAAATATATTCAAGCAAGATCAAGGCCATTAATGTTTGCCTGTTTTATCTCGTCTTGTGCCTTTTACCTGGAAGATACGGGTCTGTGACACACAGAGGAGCATACAGGGAAGGAGTCAGCCTTTGTACTGTCCAAATTAAATTCTGAAAGCCAGGGAATCCATCATTCTGACATCTCTTTGCGGATGCAGAGTATGTGTTGAAATATCTCTTGAAATGTGTCTTGATTACAAGAGGAATACATTTAGCAGGTCATGTTAATTAAGAATAATACCTAAGCAAGGTCTTTGATAATATGACTCTTTTTAAATATAAAATTGCAGCACTTTTTTCCCCCAAAATGGCAAGAATGGATGTTTCCCTGATTACTATAGTTCGAATTTTGAGGTTTTCTTCTAAACAGGTTATATTTTTTCCTTGATTTTTTTTCAGAGTTCATTATTTTTTTACTTGTTGTAATGTAGGTTTATAAGTATTATGTATTAAAAATGGAGAAGTTGGGGAAAATATTTGAAAAGAACACTACCTACTATTAAGATTTCTTGCCGAAACCGGTTTGGCTCAGTGGATAGAGCGTCAGCCTGCGGACTGAGAGGTCCCGAGTTTGAGTCTGGTCAAGGGCATGTACCTGGGTTGCGGGCACATCCCCGGTGGGGGATGTGCAAGAGGCAGCTGATCGATGTTTCTCTCTCATCGATGTTTCTAACTCTCTCTATCTCTCTCCCTTCCTCTCTGTGAAAAATCAATAAAATATATTAAAAAAAAAAGATTTCTTGTCATTAATTGTATTATAGTGTTATAAGTTACAGGAGGTATGTCCTTTTTAACAATTCCTGAAGAGTACAGTCTCAGCTATTGAGAACTTATTTAGTAGCCCTCCCTTTTGACATTAAAAAAAAAATATATATATATATATATATATATATATATATATATATATATATATATATTTAGAGAGAGAGAGATAAAAGGAGAGGGAGAGAATGAGAGAGATGCATTTATGTAAGAGAGAAACAGCAATCAGCTGCCTCCTGCACACCCCCTGCCAGGGATCAAGGCACTTGCCATGACCAGGAATCGAACTGGTAACCTTTTGGTGCATGGGACAACACCAAACCAGCTGAGCCACACTGGCCAGGCACATTTTGATATCTTTGTATGAAAGATTTTTGTAAAGAGCATGATGATTTAATAAATTATGAGTAAAAATTTCCAGTTACATCTCTAAAATCATTGTTTGTAGACTTTCAATGTTATCAAAATTAATAAATAATGTAAGTTTACCTTGGACCTCCTTGTTCTAGATAAACTCTAGTAATAACAGATGCAATTGAGTGGTATAGCTTCTAAATGGAAAGTTGTCATCATTTTCAAGAGAATTCATGGCTCTACAGGAAATGTATAGCTTAGGAATGACAGAATTGAGCCCTAGGAATCCTCAGATTTGCCATTAAGCAATGCCTTCTCTCATGCAGTCCTCAGTGTGACCTTGGTCTCAGTAGGCCAAGAAGATAGAGCTGCAAAGCAAGTGCACATTTCTCAAAATATTTGGCCAGGACCTTTTTTTTTTTTTTTTAAGTTTTCTGAGCATCTCAGGATGTGCTTGTTTCATGGATCCTACTTTGTGAAGCAGTGGATGAGATGTAACCATGTAGCCTCTACTCGAACAAAGCTTCAATTTGGCAAACCAAAATGAGCTTTTGCCAACACTTAGATACAAAGAGTTAGTATAAAGCAATGATGTCAGACATTCTGGATTTCAGAAATGTTCGTATTGAAGTTGTCTGAGTGATCTCTTCTCTTCTCTTTCAGGTGTTTCATCCCTAATATCTATGCCGCTCTGTTCACCGCAGCCCTGGTCCCTTTAATGTGCCTTGTGGTGGTATTTGTGGTGTTCATCCACGCCTACCAGGTGAAGCCGCAGTGGAAAGCATATGACGATGTCTTCAGGGGAAGAACAAATGCCGCAGGTTTGGAAGGAATTGTATTTGTACTTTGAAGATGAGAACGTTTTAATGGTGGGGGAAATGGCGCTGCAATATTTTTATCAAGAAAAAGAGAGAAGTTAGACACAGCTTTCAGCTGGAGTCTCCAGTGCCTCCTGCTTCTTAGTACTCCCTGACATCTCTCTCTTTAGGTCTGTAGGTTTTATTGCTGGTCTCAGTTTTGTCTTTTTAAGATATTAATGTCCAAGGAAATGAGTCACACAGCCTTTGGGAGTTGCTTGCCAAAACTTCCTTCAACTTAAGCAGTAATAACCGATGTTCAACCTGTGAAATGTATTCATTTCTTCCTGAGAATCTGAGAATTCGTCACAAACTTCCATTGTGCCCAGGAGTGCTGTGTTTTGCATGTGGAGTTTTGCTTGTGCTGACAGATGTTTAAAAACATATGTGATCAGACAGCTTCATAAGTGGCTACACATGTCTAGTGATTTAACAGTGCAAGTCTTTCCAGCTCAAATTGGCTTTCACTGCAGCTCATTTTTTCCCTTTGAATCATACTAACACAGGTTTCTATGATCTGATTCTTTTTTTGTTGTTAGATTAGAGTCTCTTAGGAATTTCCTTAGCTTGGAACAATAACCACACACCTACATACAGAAAATTTTGTCTAAAATGGTTTGAGTGACTAGAATATTAGGAATAATCTTGTAGCTGGGAGCGGAGGTTCCCGCTTGGGCCAGTGAAGAAGAGGAATCTCTCTTTTCTAAACTTTGACAAATCTAGAACCAAATGAATGAGAGGAATTCTTCACATTTTAAGTGCTTCTCAAAGTTTAAGCAAGATAGTATATATGAAGTCCCTAGAACAGTGTCTAATATATTATTGGGGGTTCAATAGATATTGCCATTTATAGGATAATAAAAGGAGGTACTGTGATCAAAGAAAAGCCTTCTAGCACCTGAACTGGATCAGGGAAGATGCAAAAAAGATTTTCCTCTTGGTATAAAGAGAATGGACTCTTTATATTATTTTGTGCCTTCGTGGATCAGAAACAGAGCAGAAAGACAAAGTGGTAATCTGGCCTGAAGCCGTGGGCCCATTGCTTTCTGGATCCACAAACAGGTGGATGAGGGAGTCTCTGAACTGCTGTGGTGGTGAATTGGAATGAAAAGGCCTCACCCAAGGCAGGTGGAACTGGAGCAGTAGCACCTGCATACAAGAAGCCTGGAAAAGAGCTGCACAGTAGCTTGGGCTTTGGATTGTAGAAATCTAGGAGCCCAAGGAGAAACCAAAAAAAAAAATCTCATTAAATTCCTGGGCCAAGCTCTCTAGGGTTCACAGACTGTATCTTCACCGTGGGGGTCAGAATCTCAACACATCAAACTAGTCCTCTGTGGACAGCAGGGCTGAGTGAAGGCAGCTACGAAACCATTGGACAGAACAAGGTAACCAGAGAGAGAGACAGACAGAGAACAAGCAAAGAAACAAATGCTTTCTACTCAAGATTAGTTGCAAAAGCAACCCTTTTCCCTAAGGCAGCTGAGATGGTTTATACTTTGCCCTGAAGTTTTGAACTGAATGACCATTTTTAAATATAGTAGATAGTATTATGAAAAAATAGATTTTTCAAATAATAAATCAAAAGAAGAAAATCAATTCCCTTTTCTTACAATTTCCCAGTTTGACAAATGACGCTAAATTTTGAGTATTGTTTGTCAAACATTGTGAAGGGTTTGTTTGTTTATAAATCACTTTTAACAATGAGTGTGATGCATTATGAGAAAGTTCAATTTGTAGTCTCCTTATAGCCAAGTTGGTTTTTTATAATTATAATGATTATTGATTACCTTAGAGTTTTAGGTTTGGTAAGCAGATGCAATGAGTTATCACCAGCATCACCTATTTGAATAACTGAAGAGCTTGACTCCATCATTTTGTTAGGCCTGAAGTCTTTCATATATCGATAGAACTGTTCTCGAAACTAATCACCATTGTGCAGGTTACATGTGCCTTACAATAGGAGCAGTTTTAAATTCACACTTGCGTGTTTGTCATGACTGCTGAGTATCAGTCCCTTTACAACTCTGTATTATTTTTAAAATTTTATTTATTGATGAGAGAGGGAGAGAGAGAAGAGAGACATCGATTTGTTGTTCCACTCATTTATGCATTCATTGGTTGATTCCTGTATGTGCCCTGACCTGGGATCAAACCCACAACCTTGGCGTATGAGAATGATGCTCTAACCAACTGAACTACCTGGTCAGGGCTTACGACTCTGTACTTTGAGTTACTTTTTTGTTCCTGTTATCCTTAATTTCAGAATTCAAGTAAACTCAATGAAATCCAAAGGAAAGGGGGGGTACAGAGAAAGAGCTGCTAATAAATAAAATGTGTTTTGTGCTTCAGTCTCCCAAAAATGGCCACTGTCAGTCTCTTTCTTTTCTGAGCTTGGCCTGGCACAGTGATGGCAGCATGGCCTCTGTGCTTCTTTTGCTGCCTGACTGCTATCGACCAAGTTTTTGAAGGTCAGTGGTTGCTAATGAGATTCACCGGCCTCCTCCTCTCTTCAGTGGGCTGAATGTGCAGTGAGAATGAGTCAGGATAAAGGTATGTTCTCTGAACTAAATCTCAATGTCTCAAACAGCATTTTAAACAAAGCCTGTAATTTTAGGGTTTGGTTTTGATCTCTGGCAGTGATAAGCTTGTCTCTTCTTTTGGGATCATTAGAATTTACTGGCTCCTTTCTGATTCATCAGCCAGTTCTTATGTGAGGAATGATTCACATAAGATCAGGGAAGGAAAATTAATTTGAATAAAAAGAAGAAGTGGGTGATTACAAATCCTTTTCTTATAAAAATCCCACACATATATTTTAATACAATAGATAAAACTGTAAAGGTGGCTTGCTCCAGCTAGCTGTAAAAAAGGTGAATCTGAGTCATATAGAATTTACTGGTACTGTAAAGGCTGTTTCTCTACTTGGGAACATATCTAAGAATGAAAGCTTCCATTTCTCCTGAGGCTCCATCACTTCATATTTATAGTGAACAAAAACCCTATCTAATAAAAGAGTAATATGCAAATTAACTGTCACTCCCTGACAAAGATGGCAGCACCCATAGCGGCTGGGCAGGATGCTGGTGGCGTCACCCCAGCAACGTGAGCCCAGCAAGCAAGCAGGGTGCAGGCAGCACCCAGCAGGGCCTGCTGGGCAGTGGTGGTGGTGACCCACAAGCAGGCAAGCAGGCCCGCAGGCAGCACTCAGTAGGGCCTGCTTGCCCATCCCTGTGGTGTGGAGCAGGCAGGCCCCGCAGAGAGCAGAGAACCACGGGGAGTGGGCCCAAGCCATCAGTAGCACATCCCCTGAGGGCTCCCAAATTGGAGAGGGAGCAGGTCGGGCTGAGGGACCCCCCACCCGCCCTCCCGCCCCCTTTCCTCCCCCGTGCATGAATTTTGTGCACCAGGCCTCTAGTCTATCTGTATAAAACCGTAATATGCAAATCAACCAAACAGCAAAACAACTGGTCACTATGATGCGTACTGACCACCATGGGGCAGATGCTCAGTGCAGGAGCTGCCCCCAGCCCGCAGGCCCCAGCCAGTGGCAGCGGCAGGCGGCGGGGCTGGTGAGCAAGGGGCGCCAGGCCAGCCAAGGCGGGTGCAAACTGGGGGTCCCCCCAATCACCCTGACAGTTACTCCACAGATCAGCCCTGATCGCTGGCTAGACTTGGGAACCCTGCCTGTGCACAAATTTCGTGCACTGAGCCTCTAGTAGTAATATAAATCAAGATTCTATTGTTATGAAATCATTGAACACTTGTTATAATGAGTATTTCAAAGAATTATCCCTTATGTCCTAAAGTTGAGTGACTTTGTTTCTGCTGACATTTAAAATATTTCAAATAGGTTTCAAAGAAACTCAATGAAACCCAAAGGGTAAAAGAAAAGAAAGGAGCTCCTGGGAGCTGCTATACGCTCTCTGTTGGATTCTCCAAAGACGGTGGCCGTCAGCCACCTCCCTCCTGTGGTGAACAGGCTACTTTTCATACAAAGTGGTGGAGTCTGTTTCCGCTCTTTAAATCTGGACTGGCTTTGGACTTGCTTAGACCAATAGAATATGACGGATGTGATGCTGTCCCATAATGGGTCTGGCCTTTAGGAGAACTAGCAGTTTCAGCTTCTTTTCTCTTGGAAGCTAGCTACCATGTAAGAACCACCGTGATGTCTGAAACCCCAAGCTCGTCATGTGGAGTGGCCATGTGGGTGACATGCTTGGCCAGGCCTCAGTTGTTTCAGGCACCTGAGCTCTAAGAATTATTATAGATTCCAGCACAAGTAGATACCGCACAGAATAGAAAAACTGCCCGGCTCAGATTGTAGGATTGAGAGAAATGATAAATGATTTTAAGCCACTAAGTTTTGTGGTTGTTTATTATGTAGCTATAAATAGCTGAAACTCTGGTTCTAGTATTCTTATTCTCACATCAAAATTATAAGTATGTCATTGTCATTTTAGAATTTATTGCTCGAAGGAACACACATAGTTTATAAATAAAAATGGAAAAACACAATATGACTTTTTTTCCCTAAAGCAAAATCGAGGCTTCCACTAAAGCGAAGTAAAAGTAATCTTACCTAGTAACAGTATGTGCTTGAATTGGATCCAGAATGACCAATAGAACAGGTTTCACATGTCCTTGGCAGTCAGCTGCTTGTTTTCAGTCTGCTCAGTTCCATTGCTCAGAAGAAAGCAAAACAATGCTGACGGACCTGGGGAAAACCCCAAAGCTTCTCACTAAATCATAAACAGTCTCCTGCACTTGAGCTTGAAAAATCTTTGTGAACACAGTTCAGTCTTCCCACATTTTGCCAGTAGTGATGGGGAAATCCAAAATGTTTACAGAAACATTGTGGATGCTCCTGCAACCTTCAGAGATTCAAATCAGAAATCGTTGAGCCTAAAAGGTAATGTATTGTCAGTCTTCAGTGTGTGTTTTCTTCTTGACTGTTTTTGAAAACA